TTGATCAAAGCCCATTAAATCTCCCCTACTAAAAGTCCTTGAAATGTCTCTCCCTGCAAGAAGAATGAATTCCAAAGTCCCTTTCAAAATCTGTAGTCCCTGTTTGAGCTGGTCAGACACTTATCTCTCCCACACCCTCTATTTTACACTATTTTCCATGTGTACTTTGCTCAGGCTACACTGAGCTCTGTCTACTTTTTTTTAAGGGATTTATTTTTATTTATTGATGCATATAAGAATGGGGGTATAGGGCCCTCCCTGGTGGCTCAGCGGGTTAAAACACAACACTGAGAAGCTAAAGCCACTTCCGCATGAGTTCGAACCCTGCCTGCCCCGGAGGAGATCCACATGGCGAGGCAAACCTCTCCTGATCCACCCGCTGCTCCCCTCAGCAATGTACTTCATTGATCTGCCTGTTCTGCACCCTTCTCTGGTGAATCCTCTCACCCTCTGCATCTCTGGCCTGTACCCCAGTTCCATATGAATAAATAAATCTTAAAAAAAAAAAAAAAGGGGGACCTCCCTGGTGGCGCAGCGGGTTAAAGCACTCCACTGAGAAGCTAAAGGCACTTTCGCATGAGTTCAAATCCCGCCTGCCCCGGAGGAGACCACATGGCGTGGCAGACCTCTCCTGACCCGCCCGCTGCTCCCCTCAGCAGTGTGCTTCGTCGATCTGCCTGTTCTGCTCCCCACTCTGTCTCTGGTGAAGCCTCTCACCGCCCCTGAGCCTCTGGCCTGTACCCCCGTTCTGTATATACAAATAAATCTTTAAAAAAAAAAAAAAAAGAATGGGGGTATAGGCCAGAGGTGCAGGGGGTAAGAGGAGTTACCAGAATCAAAGTCAGGAGCAGGACAAGCAAATCTACTGAGGGAAGCAGAGGTGAGACAGGAGAGGTCTGCTGCACCATGTTGGTTAGCTCCCTAACTGGAACAAACTCAGATAGTGCTGAGATTTAAACCTCAGGCTACCAGGGAGTCCTTCTATCTACTTCTTTAGCAGAACAAATCAGGATGCCAGGAGCCCTGGTACTCCAGCTCCCTGAGTCTGGAACATTGCTCCCTAGGTCTCCAGTGGGCAACTCTCAGTTGGATGTAGCAAGTCTGTATGTGTCATGTGGATTCTGTGGGAATGGAAAAGGCAGGCTGTGATTGAATTTGCTTGCTGATTAACTATTAGAGGAGCTGTCTGATAGCTTGGGGCTCCAACAGCAGAAGATGCAAGTTTACATCACCAGAGGTTAATGAGGAGGGCGTTAGCTGAAGAGCAGCAACCACTGAGGAGAAATTGCAGTAAATCAGGTTAAGTTTGCTCTTTCCCCTCTTTATCTGTTTCACCCCAGCACACAGAAGGAGCTAGGGCTTGAGACTGTGAATATTTAAATAACATAGGATGATTTTAAGTTTTAAACTAAATGGAATTGAAGCAACTAAGAAACTGTCTGGTCAACTCCAAGGCCATTATGTTTCCAAACCAGCCTTGTGTTTACTTTTATTTTGGGAGCTGGTTTATTTTCTCCTTTGGAAAAATACCAGACTAAAACCAGATGTTTTATTCGTCTGTGTCTACGTGCCTTCTTCTTCTGGATCAGCATTCCAGTGTCCGTATTTACTACATAATGTACTCTAGGAGTCTCCCCATTAAAATAATTTTAAAATGCCTTTTCTATCAGATGCCCTAGAGTGCTGATTCAATAACAAAAGGCATAGAGTTGGAACCACAGTGAAAACCCAGAGAAGAGATGCAGGGAGCTGCAGTCCCTACATGTTCTGAAGTTAAAAAGGATTGGGCCAGACCACACTCCATACAATGCTTCGAAGCTTTTAATAAGATGACCAGACATATTCTGGTTTTCCTAGGCCTTTTCTGGTTGACGCCTGCTATTCTAGCCTTATTTTCAGTATAATTCCTTTTCAATCACTATCAATGGAATTCCATTCTGGATGACAAATTAAATGGCCTCTACAAAAAGTCCATTAGAAATCAAAGGGTTGTGTGTGTGTGTGGGGGGGTCCTTGAACTTGCTCATGAAAAGGATTAAGAGAAAGAGTAGACAAAAAAGGCAAGATGGAAAGGCAGACCAGTGTAGTGATGATCCACTAGGTTTCCTGGCTGGGGCCCATTGGCTTTCAGAGGAGAGATACTGGGGCTGCTGTTAGAACTTCCCCAACAACCTGTGGTGGCTGTCACTTATCCTCCAGCTAGCAGAGCTACATGCGCTTCAAATTTAGAAGGTCATTGTTTCAGTGCAGGCTTTGTCATTCTCAAAAAGTTCTGTGCTAAAGACTCCTTTAGGGGCTAGAGGATGGACTCTACCTGAAATATTGACCTAGGTGTCACTGGGGGCCTGCCCTGCCCTGCCCTGCCGACTGAGCCAGCAAGGTAAAGAGCATGACATGTGTGCCAACTCCCTTTCAAGGTTTTTGTTTTTGTTTGTTTTAAAAATACATTTCAGTCCAAAGAAAGTGAAGACAGACTACAACTCCGAAATTAATTAGGTTATCATCTTTTTACCTCTTTAGTCCTGTCTTCCCTTTTTTTGGACTAGTTTCTCTTGAAAATTCAAAATTCTAAATAAAGTCTATGTAAAAAAATGTGTCCCAAATTCCACTACAACCTTCTGATTCTTAGTGAAAAGGACATTCAGTTTATCCTCACCAATCTTACCTTCTGAACATTTCCAAATCTTGCACCAACACCTTTTGGGGCTCCTCATCATAACTGTGAACTAAAGGCTGGTAACAGAGTCCCTCAAAATGTATTCATTTGAACATTAAATTGCTCATAGACAGAATATATATATATATATATGTATATATATATACATATACATATATATATATTTAAAAAAAACAAGGGTTCTGTGATCAAAGATGTTTATTGAAATGCATATTTTCAAACATTAACATGAGTCTCCACTACAGGACTTCTTAGAGCTTTAATGTGCAAACAAGCATGTGAATCCCTGATAAAGGAAGCATTGAAAAACATCTCCCTGCTACTTGATGATAGCACCCTTTTAATTTTTGGTAGAATATCTGGAAGGATGAGTGTTTAATATTGTTATACCAGCCTTCCTAGGAATATATGTTTACAATGTGTAACTAGTGCATGTAAACCATTAACTTCACTATTACTATCGTGAGAGTTCTTTTTTTTTTTTCATTCCAATTTATATGACAGTCTAGATACTGCTTCCATTTTTTAACCACTAAAAACGGACACGTTAAATTATTTTTCATTCTTCTTCTATGGTTCTATGAGTTATATATTGGCATATGTTTAATATGTGTTATTTTAGTTCACTTCTCCCTATGAATAAGCCATTGATATAATTTTGACTGTGTCATAGTTTACCCTTGCTGAAGGACAATTTAAGTTGGCAAAACAAATCAAAATTAAGAAATCTAGGCGTTTCACTAAAGGAGCACTATGTCTAGATATTCAGTGATTTCTATTTGCACCAAGCAAAAACAAAAACAAACTCTGAAATCCAAATGCTACACATAAATATGGTAAACTCTTTTTTCCTCAGCCTACAGTCCAGTTAGATTCCAAAGAAAATTTTACTGGGCCTCAAGATTCCTGGCAGCCCTTATTTTTATGGCTAATGAATATTGTTTCTAAAGTGGTTAGATGCAAGCATGATGTTATATGTTTCTTGACTGCCTTATCAGGCTTATTCTTCCAAAAAGCTCAAGAAACACAAGCCAGAAGTCTCCTGGAGAATGTTGAAGCACCAGTGCTATGTTTGACCATCTTCACAAACAGCCTTGATGCAGGTTGAAATGACTGAGCACAAACACAGTGAATACTTGCCTTATGTTCAATAGCTCTTTATCTCCAATGATACATTTTGAAAGAACTACTCAGACTAAGAGCCATAAAATTAAAACACTAAGTGAAAGTCCTTTCTTTGTACGCTGTGATTATTATCTTGATAATTTATAAAGACATATATTGGAGTGCAGGATTCTGATCCATTTTTTATTCTTCCCAAATTTCATTTTATGATTACACCTGATTACATGTGCTTGCAGCTAAAAGCACATCAGTAAAACAGGCCCCTTTCCAGTTAGTGGCGGGGAAAAAACACACACACATACTTTTTTCAAAGCACCTTTTAAATATGTTTTACTATAAGAGAGATAAGTTTCCAAATTGAAAAAGTACACAGCTTTCTAAAGGCATGCTGAAAATGCTTCAGAATAACTTTGATTAGACTATGTGATTATGCCAGGCTCCAAACAAGTGGTTATTCTGTTGTGACATCTGCCTAGCAAAACATCCATTGTTCTCTGGAATTTAATTCATTTTAAATTACTCCATCCAAATGATCACATATGAGATGTGAGCATTAAAGCACGTTCTAATTAGGTCTGCTTATTGTCTTCTGAAAAGCAGCTAGTTCAAGAAATGTGAGATCCTGTTAAATGGAGGAACTGGCATAAATGATCTTGCTTACCCTGGTGAGCCTACAAAGTGGGCAGAGGAACGTGTAAGGTCTTCCCCAAAAATAAAGGCAGTAGTCTTTGGAAGATACGGTTTAATATGTCTGATGTTATGGTCAACAAATTATTTTATAGATCAAGGACTACCTTGCAAACAACCCCCAAGTCAAAATAGAATGACTGTCTGTCAAAGGAGTATTATGAAAGTCCCAAAGAATTGTTTGCCATGGGGAGCACTGCCATCCAGAAACAGTAATAACTAGGCATTAAAAAAAAAGAAAGAAAAGAAAACAGAGAAGATGAATCCCAGGAGAAAATACACACACCCAAACATGCACACATTAGAAAACACATCTCCCATATGCCAGATATTTAATATAAACCTTGAAACAAGTTCAGATAAAACAAAAATCAAAGTTCTCAAACAGTGAAAGATTAACTTAATCACTAACAATTCCCTATTGTTCCAAACATTATCATATTTTTTATTTCTATGCAGAAGTCTTTTTTTAAACTGATTAAGTGATATTATACCAGTTTTCAAATAATAAAGCCAGTCAACTTGCTTTCTTAAAAAATCTTAAGATAATTATGACATACGCACATACATACACACATACAAACTCACACCCAGTGACAAAATTTGAGCTCTTCTACAATAAGTACAGAAAGACCTTTAAGTGCTGCTGGGAAGGAACTCAGTGTCATCCTTCCCTACAATCCACATAGTTTCCTTTAATCCAAAAGCAAATCTGGGCATATTTAAGAGGGGTGATTCTAACCGCCACATTGAAATCCTGTGGTGAACCATTCATGTCTACCCACTGATGCCCTGAAAAGATGCCAATGATTTTTCGCTCCCACTTCTGCTGCTGTCTCTTCCACATCCTCACATAGACCCCTGACCCACTGGCCCCAGGCTGGGCATCACACTGCTGGTACAGCAGGTCATAGGTCTCATCTTTGACGTCACAGAAACGGTACACCAAATTGCCTGGCCGGTCATTGTCATAACCAGAGAAGTGGATTCTGCCTCCTGGCAGTTGCTTAGCTGGAGGGCTCACGCCAATCTTCATGAACTTTCTCTTGTGGGGCTTCTTAAGTTCCAGGAGGGCATAGTCATAATCCATGCCAATGTCATTGGCATTGCCCTTGATCCACCCCTTGGGCACATGGGTGCGTTTCACCCTGATCCACTGAAACTTCATTTTGTCGGGCATGGCTGAGGTTGAGTCATTTGTCCCTCGACCGCCATCTTTAAACTTGGGTTTCAGGAAGCCCACTCGAAGCTTCTGGGTTCCCTTCACATAGGTCTTCCCATCATGTATGCAGTGGGCAGCTGTGAGGACATGCTTCTCCGCCACTAGAGTGCCAGTGCAGCCTGTGGATAACTTCACAGATGTCGAGAAGGGGTAGTTGAGCAGGAAGTCCTTCCCAAAAATGCTGAACCTGCTGTCATAACCATAAATCTGTCGCTTCCTCCGAGACTTTCCTGCAGACTCACCCTGGGCATTACTTAGGATGTAAATGCCCACCTGTGTCTCCGTTCGGCTGCCATTAGCATAAAGAGTTTCATAAGACAGATACTGCTTGACTTCTTCATAAGTGGGCAGTGGGGTTCCCTTGTGACACTGGGGTCCACATGAAGAAGACACTTCCAATTTGGCTTCTGCCCCAAAGTCTGGCTTGGCTAAGCTGAGGGTGGACTGGGGTAAGACCACAGGTAGGCGGTAGGCAGGCCAAGTGGGTTTCCACTGGGCACTTATCTGCCCAATAGCACAGAGGAGGAAAAGGAGCAGAAAGAGGAGCCCTGGGATCTCTGCCATGTTGAGCACCAATCTGTAGAGGCAAAGAAAAGCAGGTCAGAAGAGTAAGTCTGAGCATGCGCAGCAGCCCAGCAGTTGCTTGTCATTGTTTGCAAGTCTCTGAACCCCCTTTAGGAATCTGGCTGTGGAGAGGAGCCCCTAGATAATGGTCTCACTTACAATGTCAGAGCTTGACCTTGTACTGCTCAAAGGTGAGCAAAATGAAATCGGGTGATCATTCCCTTCTATAAGAGCTTCCCTGGTGACAGGGAGCATGCTTATGCCATTAATCCCCAGATGAAGTGGTCAACCAGCTGCAATCTCTGCATGATTCTGAGCCTTCATTATGCTTGACTTTAAGCCTTCATACTCTCCTACCTCCCTAGTCCTCCCGCTTTCCTTTCTACTTCCCTCTCACTCTCATTACAGCATGTACTTGGAAAATTTTCGGAGCTACTTTTTCATGTAGAGAGAAATTTAAATTACATCTTACTGAATGACTGAGGCACTGAGGAGAGAGGGCTGCCTAATGTCGTACCTTCTAGAAGTCTTATGGCTTCTAAACAGTGGGTACATCCAGGAATGAGACTTTTATTTATTTGATTTGAATTGAGGACAACCTAACTATTGTAAATTTAGTTCCAGAGCAATAAAGTCTTTAACAAACAAAATATTCCTTCTTCCTTTGGATTTTGCTGTGCACTATCTAGATCTTTGCCAAAGGCTGTGAATGGAACATGAGGGTGATCACATTGTGACTGTTCCTGTTGACTAGTTTTTCAGGTCTTTGTACCTGGGCTCCCATCTAGCTTAAGTCCTTGAATTAGGGACGATAAAAGCATTCAACTAAGATTTCTTGGATAAACACTTGTATTAGTGGAAGAGAGAATGAATGAAGAATCAATAGGATGACTCCAAAAATACTTTTTAAATGATGCAGGCTCACATAGATGTGGGTGATATGTTACATAAGAAACAGGGCAGGAAACCCAACAGTAAGAAAACAGGTTGTAACTGTCAGCTCCATAACAAAAGCAAAGGTTCCATGTTTTCTGCTCCACTGAGTGAAGAGTGGAGATGAGCAGGCGAGGGGTGGCTGGGAGCTGACTTGGAAGAAGACTTAGAGGGGCACATATGAGGAAGAAGAGAGCATTTGCTTTTCAGCTTTGGACTTGGGGGACATGGAAAGAGACTTGTGGAGTCAAGACATGTAGAGACGCTTAGAAGAGACATGGGTAAGAGACTCTTGCTTTGTACTTTTATTTTGCTCCTTTTGTCCCAGACTTGTCTGCTCACCCCCCCCCCCGACCCCTTTCCTAGGTTTCATGCTAGAAGGTGCCTTAGACTTGTGGCAAACTGTGGGCCTCAGAGGCCCCACTTTCGGCTAACGCAGTTTGGCTGAGCATTTACCCATGAGAAGCTAGGTAACATTGGTTGTCATATTATCTTTTCTTTTTTCAGTGTAGACTAATCCTATTTCTTTTACACTAAGAGTATGCTCTGTCTTTATGTAGCAGGTGGCAGGACCCCTTTAGAGCTTGCAAGTTTGGGAATCCTGGAGCACCCTTTAGTCTACACACTAAGAAGTGTTAGTATTCCAGGGAAGGTGAGGCTTGAGGCAGGTGTTGAAGTTGAACAGAAGATAACAGAAGACAAATTAAAGGGGGTACTTAGAAAGGGAACCAGGGCATGGAGCCTTGCCATAGTGTGAGTTATTTCAGGAGCTATGGGGTGACACAGGAAGTGTAGCAGCAGGAAAGAGCCAGATTATGAAGGGAGGTAGATGCTAAATGAAGTTTGGATTTCATCTTGAAATGTATGTTTATAGACCTGGATCAAATATCCTACAAGAAAACAACAAAAAGATTGGAAGTACTTTCATGAATGTTCAAAATCAGTTGATTCTGACTAACTCTGAACCTTCTGCTCAAGAGAAGATGACTTAGTAGGGGAAGCCTATAACAAGGTTACATCTCAAGGCGAATGGGACAGAACAGATGTCAAGGAGATACCTCATGAGTCTCACTCTTTCTTTTTGAGAATATACACCTGCTGGAGACTCTCAGGTGGTTTTTGTCTTCTTTTATATAAAACTGAAAAATTCCACTGACTTTACATTCCCAATGTACAAACTGTATTTCTGAAATATGAATTTGTCTTACTGCTAGAATCTCTTCGCTTGCCTCTTTCTCTTTGATGCTACTTCTGTCAAAAACAGGGGTTGGAAAAAGAAGGAATAAAGGTCTGGAAAACCAGTTCCTTGAGATGTACTGATGCCTTAAAACTCTTGATTTTTCCAATCAGGAAAGGTCCCTGGGATGTTCTGTGGGGAGGAGATATGTCTAATTATTTCTCCAAATCCTGGAAACCAGAGGGCGCATATAAACATGCACACATGTGTTTGTATTTGCCTGTTAGGGACACTGCCAAGCCTAATGGTGGATGAGGGAATATGAGTAGAATCTTCCTTCTCAACAGGAAATTTGGGGAAGTGATAGGTGTGGTGATAGTAGCCCGTAAGGATGGGGATTGGCTCTGTCTCTGATTATTCCCATCTCCTGGATGAGGATTTGAGGGGGGTTGGCTCTGTCTCTGATTATTCCCATTTCCTGGCTGAGTAGCCAACCCCTGGACACTTGTTGGGGTTTTTCTCTATGTAAGTCGCTATTTAGATGACTAAATGCCCTCATGGCAGAATCCCTGCCAAGAATGAGATTGTTAGGAGGAATGACCTGTCTCCCACAGGGCTGTATCTTGGACTCCTGTACACCTGTGATTAATGTGGACAGCATTAAAGCCTGCTCACATTTACGAGTACATGTATTAAACAGAGTTTTGCTTTAGTTTATCTTAAGGAAAAATAAAAAAAAGAACCCAGAGATCCGAGCTGCCAAGTATTTGTGATTTCAAAACAGAATTACTGAAGGAGTGAGAAAAGGCAATAAGAAAGTATTGTATTATGTATTGTCATAAGTTGTAGATAATATTTTCAATGTGAACAAAGAACATGATGGTTGAAATAGTCTCATATTATCATCTAGCAGGTGCCCTTTAGGTCTCAGATCTGGAATTTGTATATTAACTGGATATGAGAAAACAAAGTTTGAATAATCTCTCCACCAAAATTTGTTCCAGTGGCCTCTGTCTTTAGCTTTTTCCATTTATCCAAACATTGAAACAGTCCATTCACAAGGATGTCAGGGGAGAGAATGGCAGAGAAGAGTCTTAATTAATTCAAATGCACTTAAAAATAAAATCTGGGCTCTTCCTTATGGTGCAACGGGTTAAAGCACCACATTATAAAGCTCTCTGAAGCCACTGCAGCACGAGTTCAATCCCCAGCCAGGGAGCTGACCCACATGGTGAGGCAGACCTCTTCTGACCTGCCCGCTGCTCCCCTCAGCAGTGTACTTTGTAAATCTGCCTGTTCTGCTCCCCACTCTGTCTCTGGTGAATCCTCTTACCTACCATACCTCTAGCACGTACCCCAGTTCTGTAAGCATAAATAATTAAATCTTTAAAATAAATAAAATCCACTCAGGATCTTGCCTTAATGAATTAACCTCCTGTTGGGCAAAATTAATTTTAAATTCACTTTTCCAAGTGCTTTGTCTATATAGAAAATCCTTGCTTAAGAAAAACGTTCAAAGGTCTTGAAATTGCCTCATTTTACAAGTGCCACCATACCATACTGAAATATCTGTGTTTCAAAAGAAACAATGTTTTTAGTCACCAGCTGGTGAAAGTGAGTTGTTTGCAGAAATGGGAGGAATCTTCTGCCTGAATGAGAACACCAGGCAGCCAGAGAGGGTCTCTCAGCAGTATCATCACTCCAGCTTCTTGATGCTGAGGATCAAATTTGTTCCTAAGCAAAATGATGGATGTGAAGGATCTCTGGGATAACTTAGAAATCACAGATGGCTATGTGGTCTCTGTAGAATACTACTATAAAATAAATATTATAAGAGAATATTGCCAAATGAATATTATACAATATTACTAGTTCTAAGTCTTTATCACTTAAATTCTGTCATTAGCCAGTTAAGAAGCCAGTCATCTAGAGACAAGTAAAGGACTGTTAAACAGGGCAGGGGAAAGCTTTGGTCCCTTATAAACAATCCTTCAGATGCCTACAACATATTAATTTCTTTTGGTTTGAACTATTGCTGGCAGGTTCCTTATATTATTATTTAAATGCTATTTGTCAACTTGTGTGGTTAGGACCTATTCCGACAATAATTTATATAATAATTAAAGTTTCAATATAACACTGAAAGCTCTAAAGCTGCATTAGAAAACCCTTAATTTAGATTTAGAAATTAACACTGACTTTAAAATGAATGCAGGTTTGTAAGCACCTGATCAGAAATTGGGAGATAAGTTGTGGTCTTAGGCGCCCAAGTGGTTTTAAACTAACAGCTATATTCAGGCTGTAAGTTTCATAAAGTGCTTACTTCTTTACCAAAGAGTGTTTTGGGTAGTTTAGAAATTTTCTGAATAGTATGAATGGAATTAGATAGTCTCTTTAGCTAGTCTTTTTAGCTCTGGTCATCTTTCCAGTTCTGGGATTGTTTGATTTTATAACTTTCCGGGGCCACAAAAGTCCAAGATTGGGCACTATATTGTTACAAATGTCTTCTACACCTTCATTTACTGCCCAGGGAGTCTGTACTCACAGAATTATGGAGGTTGGAGGATGAGGGGAAAAGGAAAAGGAAATTTTATCATCCAAATCTTTTTGCCTATCTCTAAGACAAGATTTCCCTAATCAGTCTGCAAAGGAAACAGGCCTCCACAAGAGGCAGCTTCCAAGAAGGGGCCAAAGGTATGAATGGGTGTGATGCATTCAGAAATTGGGGATCGTGGGGGAACACCCCTATTGCCCACCAAAGGTCTTTCCCGAGACCTCCACACCCTCCCCCTGCTCTTTCCCCATTACTAACACCCTGGATAACTATAATTCTTCCAAATTAGGCAGATGGTTTTGCATTAATTTCCCAACTTTACAATGTAATAATTCTCCAGGAGGCAAATAAACCCTAGAGAAAGTTTACTTAAACATAAACACTTAATCAGTGTAAACGGACACAGTAAAAAAGTCTCACTACGAGAAAGGAAACTAATGGGTCACATAATTTAAATTCTCCTTAACAGATGAATCACCTTACCTTACAAAACTCTGGGAGACTCACACCTTAAAAAGGGAATGAAATTTTAGATATGATTCTCATATCTAAAGCTGGATGAAAAAAATCAGATCTATAAACTTATTTCTAGGAATAAGCCTTTACTGACATACATAATTATCTTTTAAATTTCCCAACTGAGTATTTTCATGCATCATTTACCTAAATGGCAAAACAGAATGGAAAATGAAGGTAAGCAAATATTTATCTCACCATGCTTAGTAAGACAGAAATAGTACTCCTTTTCCAACTCTGTGTATCTGACTCACAAGAGGGTAACACATTCCAGTCTCCATCACTCAGTAGGAGCCACTGTCCCATTCTCGATTGTCTAAAAATACTTATACTTTGTGACAAGGATGCCACTTCATAAGGCCATGAGTAACCTTGAGGTGAAAGGATTTTGTCTATTATCAGATGTGCAAGTAGCTGTCATTTGCTTGGAGGCTGGGTACCTAGAAGCCTCTCTTTGCCTGCACCTAAGTTTCCAAAACTGCAACAACATGGGTCTCCTCAAGAGGGCAAGAGTTTGAAAGGGAATAATTTAACTCTGAAAGTAAACAGATGCTGGGAGAGAAAATCTAATCCTTGGGACTCACACACTCTATTGTACAAAGTGCGACTTTCTGTGACCACCATAAATAGCAATAAGAGAAAGAAACAGTCCAGAAGCTAGTGATGTTAAAACTCTGAATCCCATTTAGAAAGATGACAAAAGGTTTTCTATGGAATCCGTGGTCAGGGATGTTGGACAGTAAAACCATGCTAAATCAAATCAAATACCTAAAAATGAACAAATCTCTGCCAATTCTCTACAGCTCTCATTTTCCTGAGTCTTAAAATTTAAGGCTAAGTAGGACTGATCATGTAATTGCAATCTTACACAGAAAAATAAATGCAAGGCACTTATAAATCCAGCCAACCTTAAATAGAACCTGGTGGTCAAAATAAAAGTTTACATTCTCTGTCAGATATTAAGCAAAATGAACTACTTCAGTGTGCCTGGGATATATCTGGCAGTAGAAAAAGAAGAATATAAAAACTGTCATTAATGAGGCCTTGAAAAGCTAATTCCTCAGAGCAAGGGGAGTTTTGTGCATGTTATGCCTTGTGGGTTAAGTCCTAATGGGGCTGTGAGAAAGGGTCTGCAGAACAACCTCAACAAGCTAAACAGGCAGACTCTGACTCATTCATGGACACTTGACTCTCACGATTCAGACAGAACAATGCACCTGTATTCACCACTGACCTGAATAAATTGTCAGGGTTACAAAAATGAGGTCCATATTAGTTACCTTGGAAACTGCCCTTTCCAGTTCAGACATAGGAAAGCATGACAAATTACCTCTTGACTTTATTTACCTGGAAAAAACATCAGTGAAACAATTTATTCAGATGCAGGTGGTGGTGTGTATGATCACAAACACTTTCACAAGAAAATACAGTTCTCGTGGTATAGTAACATACATCTGAATAGATGTGATCCTGCACTTCTGAATCAGACACGGTGTCAGAATCCAGTGGCACCTCAATTAAATCAAAAAAAAAGAAGGCAACCCCTTAAAAATAATATACTGGAGGTCTTTTCCTAAGTCCCTTCTCCCTACTTCACTTCCAATCTACTATCAGACTTCTTGAGATACAGTTAGAAATGTTCTTATGTGCAAGAAGGATCTGAAACATTGTGCAATAAATACAAAGATTAGGATTGTGGGCATCTGGCTTTGGTTCCGCTACCTTCAACTATAAATTCCAAACTCTCGCATAGGCACCTGTAGATGATCCTGACATTGGCCTGTCTGCTTCCGAGGAGCACACAGCGTGTTTCAGGAACTGGGAGAAACTATCCTGAACAACTAGGAGCATCGTGCTATTTCTGAAGTCCGGCGGGTGTTGACCATGGGACAGTTAAACAAACCCGAATTTATCAGCTGCTATCTCAGGAAAAGTTCTGAAGAAACCTAATTTGTATTCTGCAGAGGGTTACTGGTTTTCATCCACCTGAATAATTCTTCTCCCTCCTCTTTTAAACCTTTAGAAACTTCTATTTAAAAGTTACTCCCGATGAATGCCCACAGGCAAAAGAAGAAACACTTGCTACTAGGACTGTTGATAAATCAGACAGTAGTTTCTGGAGAAGCCACCGCCAACAATGAAAGCTCCAGAGAACAGATCTTCAATTTGTGTTTGCTGTACTTTTCTTGCTTGCTAAGGTGTGTTCACAATCACGAGCCCAGGTTAAAAATTAAGGTTCAGTTCTCGTTGTATACGTATATGCAAAAGAGGAAATGAGCGGCGGTGTGAGGAGTGGTGGGCAAGTTGGCATAATCGCCCCAGTCGGGCGGAGAGCTTGCCCAGAGCCCAGAGCCTCTGCCCGGATTCCTACCCAGCACCTGGCATCCAAGAAAGCAGTTTCAAAAGGTCTGTCCCATTCACTTTCTTGGTGGAACCGTGTAAATCCAAATGCCCCGCAGCCTCTCAGGTTCCCTGGATCTCCTTCTGGGTTTGGGTCCCAGCCCTAGGAGCCCGAAGGGGGCGAGGTTCCAGTGCCCTCTTCGGCCGACAGTGCCCCCACCCCGCGCACTCCGGCCCTTTGTCCCGCTCCTCCGCGCGGCAGGCTCCCCGCGCGCCCGCGGGCACCTCCAGACTGCGCCCGCACTCACCTCGCCATGAAGCCCGCGGGGGCCGCGGCTCACTCCGCTGCTCAGACAGGTGTGGGCGCCGAGAGGGCGCGCGCGGCTCCCATGCCTGCCCCGCGGCGCGGTCGCGACCGAGTA